TCTCCTACTTGGCCTCTGATTTGGTCTGCCGGTGGGCGGCCGTCATTGGCTTGGGTCAAAACACACATTTGATTCGTTGGTGGAAGCCATTCTTGTGTGAAAAGGACTTGTTCTGGGCCTACTAAACCTAGCCTGGTGCTGGTTACTGCTCACCAGCGACATCTCTCTACTACGCCCCATGTTTGTCAACTTGGCCCTGTGCGCAGCGCAATTTTCCTGCCAAGTGTCTCAAAGGCCATCCAAAGCCTCGGACATCAATGCGGCGTGTCTTTCCAGCCACCGAATGGACCGGATAGGCCCAGGTGCGAAGGGACCGGATAGGCCCTTCACTCTTAATACTGGTTTCCCTGTTGATGGACAAAACTCGAAAGACTAAAGACCACAGCTTTTGGGACCTGATGCAATGGCAGCCGGATGCAGCCGGTCTTGTTCCAGCGTGAACCGCTTGGCGAACCCTCCGGAAGATGGGCCGTCGGAATTGGGGAATCACACCTTCCAGTCCAATTTACACTCCCTGAAGCATCATTCATGGAAGTGGAATGGTTCAGACCCTGGAAAACCAATTCTCCTCTACAATTGTTTCAGGGAGGCTGCATCATGGATGATAATGTGTTTCATGGTATGGTATCTGAAAAAGGCTGTCAGAGGTGTCCATCTAAGGAGCTCCTGACGGAACTTTGGAACCAGGCCGCAGAAAGAATGAGGTTTTGTTTCTTTTTTTTTTAGAATCATGATGAATCATGTGTCCATGTACTGCGAATCATTTGCAGTAAAGGCGTAGCCACAGAAAAGGAACCTGGTGCAACCCGAAATTGCTAGCAGAACACCTTCCTTACTAAGTTTTGCTGTTTGAAGTCCAGCCTACACGAAAGCAGGTCGAATCGATCACATGGTCGAATCCAGCACCGAACGCAGACCTTGCACCCTTGGGGAAGCGCCACCGCGGGGAGACCCATCGTCACCAGAAGAGCCTTTTCAACCCACCGCCGGTGCGACCTGACCCGCGGGACGAGACCCACGCTGCCAAGGAGCACATTGAGACACAAGACCCAAAAGATGGCCATCTCCTTGGTGGCAACGTCGAAGCGGAAAAGAACTCTACATCCCGGAAGTGATTGTTGAAGGACAGCCCCCAAAAGGACTTGCAGCACGTTCTGTCCTTATACAGGTTTGTGAACTCAGTCTAACCAATGTTTGTCCCGTCACCGCAGATCCTTTTGGCATCCCAAAAAGTTCCCTCTGTGTTACTCACGACGAAGTCCAGTCCCTCATCGCGGTCCCTCGTCCGGGTGGGAAATTGGAAGGCATGTTTTGAAATGGATGGTTTTATAGTGTAAGATCCTTTGTAAAACTTGTTCGGGATTCTCGACTTCGAGGCCCCAAGGCCATGCGGTTCACCCGTAAAGGAAGCAGTCTGCGGTTCACGGTCCACGGTTTGCGGTCGTTCAAGATGTTGCTCAGGGTCCTCAAGTATGGGGAGCCTGGTCAGCAACAAAACGAGGGTTGATGAGACTGGAATGAAGGACCCACAAGAAACACTGGCCAGTTTGCAGTTGATCAGCGGCCGCAATTTCCCCTGCGACCTGAGGGTCAAATTGATGAGACTGGAGCCAGTACTGCATCTTCTCCAGTCTGGACATGTTCTTGTACCTGCAGTGCCCGTGACGTATACCGCAGGACCACATCGATACATGCCCGCCACAACCAAAGGGCAAGTTGAGCAAGAACTGTTTTTGGGGCATGATGCAGTTCTTGCTGTCAGATTGTAATTATCCTTGTGAGTTTCTGCCAACGAAGCTCATGACCTTCGCCGACAGAAGAGTTTGAGTGAATTACTATAAGATCTTGATGATCTAGACCTTTGAGATGTGCTTCCAAGTTCTTCCTGTGCCAAGTGTTTTGGGTGCTCTTTTTCTAAACAACAAAGATCGCTCTTGGCGGCCGGTCCTCCACATACGTTCCAAAAGCCATTGAACACGTTGGACGCTGCTGATACGCTCTATCAAGTGCGTCTGTTCCACCAAACCATGCAAGGTCACGTTTGCTGCCAAAATAAAACAACATAGTATTCATGCATACGATATACGTATGTATTACAATTTTACAATATATTACACAATCAATTGCAGTGACAGAACAAAAACATACAAAAACACACGGCGTCTCCCCTTGCCTAATGGCGAGACGCCGAAACCAGAAAAGCAGCGAGGACTGCCAGAGGACTTTCGACTCCCAGATCTTCCACATGTTCGCACGAAACGAATGGTCCTGCAGATCTTCCTTTTCCAGTCGGAAACGAATGGTCCTGGGACCGTGCCACTTCGAAGTTGGCCTTCACAGCCACCCTGCAAAACAGTTACGACCTTCACAGCCGGTGTCCCTCCGAAGCTGAGGCTGAAAATTCGATTCCAAAATGGTCTTAAAATCTTAGCTGCCTGCAATGCTGCATTTCTCAGATGTCTTGGAACTCTGAAAACAGGTTTAAGAGCTGCGACGGTGGTGTTTTGAGAAGAGACCTCTGCACTTGTCCTTCAATTATCTTGAATGAATCCACGGGTAGATTCACTCCTCAAAGCTGAGTTCCAAGAGTGAGATTATTGGAGGTATCCGCCAAAAGACTTTCACTGGATTCGTCACGTCCTCAGTTCCCTCATTTCCACGCCAAAAGCCATCACCCTGTCGAACTTGAGGAGCGGCACGTGGTCCGACATATCAGCTCTGGTTCATTTTCTGCTTCATGATTATCTTGCTGAACTTGAGGAGTGGCACGTGGGCTCTGAACTCCACTTGATCGGCGATGGTTGTTTGCTTCAGTTGGTTCTACGGAGAGGGCCAACAGCAACACGCTGATCTCTGGAGCTTCCTCAGCTGTCTCCCGCGCAAGGTATTGCAAGCGCAACCTCACCCAATTGCTGCCCGTCGTGGACTAGCTGCCCATGGGAAGAGGCTTCAAAGGGATCGAGAATGATCAAGGTAGGAAGTGTTCCTTCCACTGTTCACTTTCACCAACTACTACTTGAGCCAGAAGTGTCAGAAGTACATCAATACTATTCAATATTCGTACTCGGGAAGGCATCGAAACCCTGTTTTCTACCGGGTCAAGGCTTCTTGGGGAAATCTGAATGACAACTCAAAACACACAAAATCCACGGACCTTCGCACTATAGATTGGGTATATCCCATAAGCAATAACAGTCAATGATGATACGATTAGTTTAAAGGCATGTCTCACAAATAGCAGGAAAACATGCAGAAAATATTTATGCGTATATATGTTTTATTCCTTTTACCGACTGCTACTGGCAACGGTATTAGCGGGAACTCTAGGATGTGTTTTCATGTCCTCCTTCCCGACGGTCGCGCTACCAGGACTCCGTGACTCCGTTTCTTTCATGTTTCTCTGGCTTGTTCCGCCGATGGTGGCTTTTGGCCAAAAGGTTCTGCGCTGCCAAGTGGTCAGATTGGGTGTGAACAAGTCAACAGACCAGCAAAGAACGTCCGTTTGTCCCAGAGGCCATGTAGGTCAGATTGGGCGGCCGTCTTCCTCTACGGGGACTTGCCCTGCAGGTCGAGACCGTTGAACGAATCGGTCCATGATCGGGTCGTGTGGGCCGCCGTCTTCCAACCGGCGCCGTCTTCCGATCTGGTTTGGACGAGGTCTGCAGGTGTCTTGAGTGCTCTCTTTCATCCCAAGTGCCTGGGGAGGTGCACCACTTAACCGCGCGAGACAGGCCTACTGATCTTCATGGCTGTCTCGGTCTGTTTCTTCAACAAGCCTGAGCGAGAAATAAGTTTCCCGTTGCCTTGTGTCCTCCTCCTTCGTCTCCCACTTGTTCGTTTCTTCTCCTCCCACCCCAAAAAGTAGCGCAGCCATAGGAGTGCATGGCAACGACTACATGTTTGTGTGCTTTGTGTTTGAGCTTCACATGTGCTGCCGCTTTCAATGTGGCTTCCATGTGCTCTTGCTCGCTAAACACACCGCTTGGGACAGCGGAGGCTTGAGAACACAAACAACAAAAAGTCTTTGTTTCGCTGTCATTCACTGTTACAACGCCCCTTCACCCCTTATAAGATGTGTTTTGAGCTTTGGGGATCTTTGGGTGAGGCTGTGTTCACCCTTCCCCGCCAAGGATAGGGACCTTGATTTCGTTTCGGCCTTACTGTTGCTACTGCTCTGTGCTTTTCTTTCCAGGCACTCTGTCGTTTACCTAACTCTTGCCCTTTTTGTTACACTTGCAGGAGAGTTGCGCGAAAGCATGCAGCATGCCCCTTGCGGGCGCAAACCTTCTTCCACGTTTGTTTCCATCTTTCATCGCTACGGAGCAAAAGATGGAGACCAGAATACCCCTCTGCGGCCTTTTCAGCTGAACATGCTCAAAACATATTAGTATAATCTGAAGAAATACCTGGATGCAGGAACGACAGGTGGATCTCCAAGCAATTTGGTGGAAACGTCGCCACGAGTCTACTGATGTCTGTTCCACCAAACGATCTCTGCCTTCACAAGGTATGTGCAAGAATACTGTGGCACTGAGTCAAAACCAGCAGGAATCAAATCATGAAAGATTCGAAGAGCCAAAAATGCCCCATCTTCGCGACGCGTGTGTCCACAAAGACTCAAGGCTCAAATGGCTTTGGCATCTTCCTACTGGGTGGGTCACTAGGCCAGTTCTGAGACCCAAATGGAAGGCGACTTCCGGCGCTTGGTTCTTTTTTCTGCATCAAACGCTTGACATTCCGCCATGCCTCTCTGTATCTTGGCCTCCACAGCCGGACCTGCACGGCAAGTGCCTCCACAGCCACTTGACCTTCACAGCCACAGCCGCTGGGCCTTCACGGCCACACGTGTCCCTGGAGCTCCAAGGCTGATGCTGAAACGTGCTTCTCAGCGAGAAGCGTTTAAAGTCTTCCACAGAAATCTGCCTGCACAGCTGCATTTCTGACATGCCCTGGAACTCCAATAGAAGCAAGTGGTGTCGAGTTGAATTATATAATGATCTTTCAGTCTTGAAGTTCCAGGGTGGATTCAATTCTGACTTTACTGAGTTCAAAGAGTGAGACTACTAAGCCTAAGCTTCAATGCTGAGGTAATACTATCAAGCCACTCTCCACTACCGGATCGGCCGGCATATCAGCTCTGCCTCATTTTCTGCTTCATGATCATCTTGCTGAACTTGAGGAGTGGCACGTGGGCTCTGAACTCCACTTGATCGGCGATGGTTGTTTGCTTCAGTTGGTTCTATGGAGAGGGCCAACAGCAACAAGCTGATCTCTGGAGCTTCCTCAGCTGTCTCCCGCGCAAGGTATTCCAAGCGCAACCTCACCCAATCGCTGCCCATAGTGGACTGGCTGCCCATGGGAAGAGGCTTCAAAGGGATCGAGGATGATCAAGGTAGGAAGTGTTCCTTCCACTGTTCACATTCACCAACTGCTTGAGCCAGAAGTGTCAGAATGGCATCAATCATCCTGACAGGTCAGACATCGTTCCAACCCTGGCGTTCACGGCGTTGAAACAGCCCCGGACCTTCGAGACGGGGCCGACTTACGGGATGACTCACCGGGCTGCACGACCTGCGACTTCGGTCGCACCGGAACATGATCGCCGAGGGCGTCTCCGAAAGAAGCCCCGGCAAGGCCTTGGAGGATCGGTCTGAAAGCGGGGTTCAGGACGGCCGGGTCTTCCAAGCATTCGGAAAGCAGGGGGGATCTGGTAGAATCTGGTGGATACTTGGAATGCATTTATGACTAGATTCTACATGCACTTCTGGTCAATGCTTGGGTTCGGCTGCTCTACTCCATGCCTCAGAGTTTTGCAGACCACATCACCACCAGAGTAAGGTTGATGGTGATTTTATGAGTGTTGGAGGATTTCCGGAACAGGTTGAATGAGGACTAAGAACGGCGTCCATGATTTATTTCCAATACATGCTTCAAGTGGCTTCAGCTTCACCAGTGCGGGTAGAACGTATACTAGAAATATCTAGAACATCATATGATATCATCGTGGTCTGGTGGTGTTTGGTTTCAACCAAGTTCTTCTGCGATCAACTATTATATATTGATTCGGCCAAAAGAACCGACACCACCCGGCGGCTCGCCGAAATCCATGAAACTCCGGCGCTTCGGACAGCGAACACTGACCGAATCCCGAAGACGTCGCGAGAAAGGCCTCCGTCTTGGTTATGAAGGTGTAGGAGGGTTTGAAGGCGTTCTTCACCTCGTCCAGCTCCTGCCAGCGCGTTCCCACGCCACGCACGACACGCCCGAAACGCTCCCACGGAATCACAGGTCCGTTTCCAGCGCTGAATCCAAGCCATGACAAGGTCTTTACCTGGTACATCTCAGGATGGGTTGACAAGTTTTCTGCTGGTCTTTGACGGCTTCTCGTTGGATCTTTCAGTCTAAACCTCCTGACAGTTGACTTTGGATCGACAGGTCACCTGGAACTTCACCATGGATCAAAGGGACCCATGAGTCACAGGGACGTCCTGTTAGGAGTAATTAACGCTCTGCATGGCACATCTTGAGACCTATTGGCCTATTGATTGTACATGATCCCTCTGGTATCCCCTCCAATCATGGCACCAAGGCGTCCGACCGGTGTCTTCCCTACCAGGTCATGACCGGCCGACCGGTGCCGCTCGGCGGATCCGGCTCCTCCGAGTGATCGTCCAACAAGTCGAAGATCCTGGGGATGCGACGTTCGACACACCGGACGAACGACACACGGGATGGTTCCAAAACGGAGGTTCCGGTGCGATCGGTCTGAACATATTGTAAATTACTAGAACATTCAGGGTTTGCTGAGTGTGTGATTGTTCATTGAGCTGCTTGCTATTGTTTCTTGGTGAGTGTATTGGTACTGTTCGGCTATGAAGCGTCTGTCTTTAGATCCCATGTCCATTTCTAGACTTGTTGTTTTCAGTAATGTAGAAATTTAGAAACTAAGGTCCATGGGTGCGGCAGTGGAAAGCACATGCGTGTGTAACCCTTGGAGTCACAGGGATCCTGTTGGATTGTTTCTTTCTTTAGATTTTAAGCAGGGGGTGCCAGGGATGCACACTGGATTAGCAACAAAGACGCCAGTGTTGCATCGGTGAAATCAATCCGGGACGCCGGATTGACGTACCTGCTTGGAAGGAAACCTAAGTAATGGACAAGCTGTTCCACTCCGGTGTTTTGCAGTAATGCAGCGGCACGTCACCTTGGAGTTTTCGTGAGCTTGAAACTTGAACTTTTCGAACTTTGTGGAGGCCTTTGAAGGTTTTCAGGTTTGCTCGCCGTACACTGCTTTACCCTGGTCTCCTTAGGTTTTTTTCACCTAGGCTGGCGTGTGGCAAACAGCATCGAATCCGTATGCATTTCTATAAGTGTGTGTGGGCGGATCGGAAACATCACCCCAGTCCGATGAAAAAAAAGGCAGGTTCACCTGGCGAGGACGAGTATGAGAAATGCACCTGAAACGCCTCACTTGAATCTTTGTTCAAACGATAGGATAAACGGCGCAAGTCTTGCTTTTTGCACCTGTGAGTCTGTGAGTGGAACAAGCATTGCCAAACTAAAAAACGAAAAACGTCTGGTTACAAACCACCAATGCCGCGCCTGTTGTTTTGTCAAATACGGAATCGCGATAACAATCATTCAAACGCTAGAAAAGGACTCAATTGAGTGGCACTTTCTGCACTGCATAAGCCGTCTATGGGAGTCTAGTCTAGTCATGGCCGATTGCCTACAATTGGGAGAGCAAATATCGGTTTCTGGCTTATACAGCTTTTGATGCAAACATGGGATCTTTGATGATCTTTGCCTGTCAGGTACTCCAAATATCCTATATCTGTCGTTCGCTCCCCACCTCCCTGGCGTCCCTCTGTGATCGCCCCTACGCCCGTCCTACTGGCATTGACTTCGGGCATGGCTTCATGCTGTTTGCCTCGGTCCGTATGCCGCGGTTCAGACGCGGCATGGCCGACATGGAACAGGTCGACCTTCATGTGTTTTTGCCCAAATCCGTTCCATCCCCCGAAACATGAATCTAAACTTAGGAACCCACCGTTGCTTCATCGTCGGAACGGAGCTTTTTGGGGGGGGGCTGGTCGTGCTTCGGAAAACTCCGGGAGGGGGCCGAGGTGGTCAATCCGCGGTGGGGTGAAGGTTTTTGGCATTTGGGGGGGATGCAGGATGGATTCAGGATGAAGACTAGTGATAAGGACTAGTCAGGTCGTTTTCCGTGAAAACACAAGAAAAACCAGGCGGGCCACGAGGCGCAGGGGGGTTGAGTTGAATTGAATTTGGTCCATGTACGGATTGCACCCGATGTTTAGAGCTATAGCCATGATCCAGGAGTTGGTGGGTGAACGGTGGGTTCTGGTCAGAAGTCGATGACGGATGCTCAGATCACCTCCCTTGGATATGAACTTCCTGGCGAGGCTATTGATGTGTTATCCAACTCCCCTACATTGTAGGATTGTAGGGACCCAGGGACCCCCAAAAAGCAGAGTTTCACGATCTCAGCCCGGGACCTACAGGAATCTTTGCATCATCCATGTGCATTTCACTCGCGCCATCTCCCACACCACTCGCTCTTCGAACCCGAAGAAGAAGAAGAAGCGACCCTGACCCGGCCGAGCGGACCGCCTTCGCTCTTACGGTTCACCGGTGAGGAACACATGACCTTCGCCGTCATGCCCCTTTGCAGCTTGGAGTTGTTCGATTGCCTCGAGGCCCTGCCGGTGACTGGCAGAGAAGAAAAGAAACACACGCGTGGTCTGGATGGGAAGGGACTCTATACTCGACCCCAAGTTCTGTGAAGTCCTGCGATTCCAGGGAGTGACTTGGGGGCACTTAGAGTGGCTTGAATCTTGAACTGATGAACTGAGGGGTGGCTGAGTTCCACTGGAAACCCTGTCAACCACTTGCTTAGTAGGAAGAAGAAAGTCAAATAGAGGGAGATCCTCTAGGTCTACGACTCTATTTCAAAGCCTGGCGGAACGAACTCTCGCCCTTCTTGTCGGGACAGCGATGCTCCAATGCTCCACGAAATGAATGGTTTCTATGACAAAACACGACTCTATCAACTGTTTCCGCTTCTTCCTTGCCAGTGCACCAACTTCCCTCAATTTCCTCCTCTGAGAGCTTCAAAAAAGCACCTGGATGTTGTTTTCCAAAACCCGCGGCTTGCGGGTTCAACCAACTGACGGGTGCAACTCGTAAGGAATAATTATGAATAAGGGAATTAATGGATTATAGTGGGGGATCCTGTCCTCATGTCCTTACAAGTTGTTCACCACATCTATATTCTCCTCCCTCGGCCTGAGCTTCCGCGACAGGTTGCTGCTGCGAGAGCTGGTGCCCGAATTCGCCTCCCGGGCGGCGGACACTCGACCCGCTCGATCCGTCGCTCGAGGCTTCGGCGTTCGGTGCGCACGAACGCGGCGCGGCGCGCGCGCCTCGTCGAAGGAGTCCATGCGCAAACGAGCTGATGGAGGCTTTGGGCTCTTCGGGCTCACGGGGCGTGGCACCTCCTCAAGCACCGTATGAATGGGATACCTCTGGGGAGTGGATGAGAGAGAGAGAGAGAGAAATTGCAGTCTGAGGTGAAATCTGGGTAGAAAAACACAAAGTCTATTTTGCATTTGAGACATATCATGTTCACTCTGTTCTCACCTCTTCTCGCCTTCAAAAAGGAATATCCCAAAATGAACTCGCGCTTCTTTCAGTGGTTTTGTTTTGACCGAGAAAACCACGGCCGACTCCCAGCAAAACGACGAAATGCCCATTCGTCCTCCAAAGGATCGGGAGGTTTGTCACGGGTGGCCAACTCAATGATGTGCCTCGGAACCGAAAGACGTCTCTGTGCAGGTGAAAAGAACCGTGAGACGAAAGGCAGACTTCCAGGGTTTGGGTTCTTCAACACCTGTGCGACCTGAAACGGAACGCCGCAAAAGTGCTGCATACGCTTTGAGGGTTCGAGTTTTCTATTTTTCCATAGCCATGCTATGGGGTCTTGCAAAACTAATAGGCGGACGGGCGCCGTCGGGTCACCGTCAGAGCTGGTGGGCGGATGGTGTCCCGGTCATGTTTTGATGGTGTCCCGATCATGTTTTGATTGTGACCCAGTCATGTTGTGATGGTGTCCCGGTCCTGTTTTGATGGTGTCCCGGTC